CAGCAGGAAAAAGTGTGGAACATTACGAAGGCTTTTTGGAGACGTTTTCTGGAATTTCAAGGCTGGCATCCTGCAATGGTCAGGGTGGTAGGTGTTATAATGGTGGTAGGTGAGGAGGCTGCTGTGGCTGTTGGCACATGAATCCCAGGTAAGTTGCCTGTTGCTTCTCTGAACCTTCACTGCCCACATGAAGGGATGATGGAAAATCAGAAAACAAAAGGACCAGAGAAGAGGGAAAAGTAACTGAATTGCACAAATAAACAAACAAACAAAAAAAGAAGTCAAAAGATGAGAATAAACTGAAAATAAAATAAAATATTAATAACCTAGACTTGTCTTCTTATCAGGGGATTCTAACTTGAGGAACAGAAATAATAGTATTTTTTTTTCTCAGGATAAGTGCTTATGATTGGAGTTTTTTGTGTTCCTGTATTAATTTTTAAAAAGATTAGCACAGAATCAATTTCTAATCTCACTCTGGATTTAGGAGTTAATATTGCAAACTTCCTGAGGAAATACTACCAACAGATGGTTACTAAGTTTCTGCTCACATCCATCTATGTCCAGAAAACCAACCAGATACTACACAGCACTGCCTAAAATGGAGATGTTTACTTGCCAGTCATTTCAATTTACTGCATTGACACTTTAATTTTGCCACTATCTATAGTGGGCATAATGCTATTCTGTGCAGTACATGACTTCCCTGGGCCAGCAGCACAAAACTCTACCCTGAAGCCTGGTTAATAAAGAAGAGAGTTCTCATTGATTAGTTGCATGTGCAATTAAATAGTTTTTAAAAACTTCATCTTCAAAACTTAAAAATGATCCTTTTCTGGATGAAATCTGAGACCATATTTGATTGCTGTTTCTATGTGTGGGGAGTCTGGGATATGCCAAAAGTGGAAGCCAGTATTTGCCAAGAGAACAGGAAGCATTTCAGTGGGTGTGTCAAATATTAAAGGACAATGATTGAAGTCACCCTTCACTAAATACAGTCTACTCATCATTAAATTTGATGTAGCCATGTTCTTGATGAACCATAGAGGAACACTCCAAACGGGGAACTATTCACTGAATGTTTGCCTTAAAAACACCAATGGATTCACCCGTATTATGGAACATAAGACAGAGTCTTCAGCCCATGAGCTGTACTACCTGTCTTGCTGCTACCTGCTACATCTATAATGGCTGCAGACACAAATGACGCCATGATGTACTTTAACAGAGGACAAAAATCTTCACTGTTTACATTGGACCCACACCTTATGTTAACATCTTACTGAGACAAAATAAGGGGAAAAAGGGGTAGACATCACGGCAAGCACTGCACAGTGTCAGAAGAAAAAGCTATCCTTTTCTTTCACTTCTTCATGTTCCATAAGCAGTGATCTGATAATTGTCTGAGTACGTTAACCCTCCTCTGGCCCCAAAGCAATGCCTGTCACTATAGCGAGGAGTACGCATCAGGGAAGGGAGAAGAAAAGGAGAGTACAGGGGCCCATCATGTTGCCACAGCCTTGTAGGGTGGCTGGGACTCTGGAGGCCCTGTCACTGCCAGGCCTGGATTTGTGCCATTGATTGGGGTGCCTCAGGCCTGTGTACCTCCCTAAGAGCAGCCTTACAATGTCCTGACAGATGTTCAAATAAAAAGAATTGGTTTGGGGTTTTTGGTCCCCCTCAACAGACGACAAAGGTGAGGGCTGGGTGTGATGCCCGCACCAGAAGGAGCACGTGGCACCACCTCCCAACCTGTGCCTTGGGGTACCTCACCCACTGGCACCAGTGCTAGTGACTGCAGAGACTTTGGAAAATCTCACGGCAGCCAGAAAAGCCCCAGAAACAGCAGCAGTAGCCTGATATGGCCATATGTATACTGCAGACTTATCATACCTTCTCAGACGAAACCATCTCCTTGATTACGTGCAGAGACAGCAAGATTTCCAAACTAACTATGTTGTAAAAATTAAAATCTGATAAGAACAATGTGGCAAGGTGGATTTTCATTATTTTCAAGTTGCTGCAAGCCTTGCTTAATTAAAAAGACTGCTTCCAGCAGGAAATTATCTGGTAGTTTTTGATATATTTTAATGTTTTATTTTCACGCTGAGAGCAGAGATAAAAATGGCCTATGAAGTGAGAAGGTACACAAATTCAGTTTGCTCAGCTTGTAGTTGGATAATCCCAATGCAACAGACGTTCTGTAAAAAAAAATCCTGTTGTGTGCAACCGTAGTAATTTAGCAATAATTTGAGCTATTCCAACCCAGGGTTGTGTACAGCAAACATAAAACTAATGGGGCAGCAAGAGAAATGAATGTTAGCGGCACGGAATAAAGGGGGAGAAAAAAGAAATCTGGTCTTTTACAGTGCTCTCTATTTTATTTTAGGGCTAAAATTTCAAATTATTTTATATACTGACTTTCCTGCCCATTTTAAATTCCCAACATGTTCCCATAACACCAATAACTGAACTCAACAGATACAGCCCTAATGACTTGGCTTATCCTAGGCACATAAAGTGAGCTTGTCAAACTCTGCAGTATCTAGGACATACCACACCTGATGAAAAGTTGTTTCCAAGAGGGTTGTTGCTTCCATAAAGCATGTTATATCTTGAATTGGTCATGATATTGGAGTGGTACCACCTGGTGTGGGGCTGGGAAAGCTGTAAACATCCTAGTTATTCTGCCTTATTTAAGAAATCAATTTTATTACCTTAGGGAGATTTCTCCTCAAAAGATGCTCTTATGTACTTTTTGCAGATACCCTTGATAGGATTTCATAACAGGGAGTTTTTAACTCTGGCATAGCAAAAGCGTTACTTTTTCTAGACATCTACAATGGGTCAAAGTGACTAGCACATTAACAGCATGAATTTGTTTTAAACGCTGGTTAAGGAACCAACTGCAATAGTCTACACAAATCCTTGGCCCTGGCACTCATCTTCCCCAAAGAAACATTCTTCAAAAGTTCTTTAATCAGCCAGAAACTGATTGTGTGACATCTTTGTTTAAAAAAAAAAAAAAAAAAGCTCTGTTGCAATGCACTGTCGTAACTGAAAAAAATGAAAATATATTGCAAAATTTTGTCCTCCATCTCATTCTGCTTCTGCAGTATCGCTCCCTGCTCCCTCACCCCTTCCAACTGGCTTAAGTAGAAAGGGGAAGAGATGCAGCTGAATAATGAAAGAACGTGTTGTTGTGAGGGTTGCTTTTTGTTCACCCTGGTTTAGGAGAAACTAGTGTCTCCTCGGCCACTGGCTCAATATCCACCACCGATAAACTGACTAGAGCATCGTTTATCACAGGACAACCTGGATCTCAGAGAGATGTCCAAGAACATTTACCATCACTGACATTTCTAGGCCTCAGAAATCTTGTCTTGGTCTAAAGGAGGCAGAAGCACAGTACCACAGGCTCAGAAAATGCTACTACTGGTTCATGCTGCAACACAGAGACCTATTCTCTGTGTATTTGATAACCCTTGTTACTTCTTTAACGTCTGTCAACATGCAGTATTTTAGACTGAATTTATGAATACTGTGAATTTGCCACTTTCTCAGGATTATTTACAAGACAAGACAGGCAGCCTCCATCTTCAAATACTAAGGCATTTTACATATATTTGATTTGAAAATGGAAAGCCATTGTCTTCAAGCATGTTGGTATGAAATATACCACAGTGAAAAACGCTGAGACCTTTTTATTAGCACTGACAATAACCACATGAAGCAATCTCAAAAGTACTTTAAAAGACGATGGCAATAAATAATAACGCCATTAGTAAGAGAATTTTTTTTTTTGTGGTAGTTTAAGGCAGAACAGGTGTTATTAATGAAGCGGCCATAACAGACTATCAAGTCAATATGTTGAGAAGAAGTTGGCTGTGGTCCTTCGTCCCTTTAAATTTACGAAGCAATTTAGAGATTAATTTACTGAAGCGCCTAGCTGGTGCCCCAGTGATTGCAGCAGAAAAGTCAACAGGAGCCTTTATGCACACGTACAAGTGTGCAGTGCCATTTCTCAGTAAAACATTTCCCTCCCTATGCATGGGAATCTCAGAGGGTGCAGTAAAGCCAAGAAAACACAGAGCTTCTCTGAAACTGCAGAAGCATAACCTGGGGAGCTGAAACAACTTTTACAGATCTAACTGACACAATAGATTTCTTGGCCATTCAGCAAGGGCAGGCAAAGTAAAAGGTAGGAAAAGAAAGGGGTGTTTGGTGCTACAGGTGCTCTTACCGTGCTCCGGGCCTTTCAGCGCTAGCCGAGTCTGGTGGTGAGGAAGGATCTCAAGTTTGACATTATCTGCAGCATTAGCCAAAAACTGCGTTGCTTCTGCCAGCGTACAGTACTCCATGCTGGTGCCGTCAATGGACAGAATATGGTCTCCTACATGTAATGCACCACATCTATATAAAAGGGGAAAAACTCGGTATGATCAGGTATGCTCTTCGCTGGGAAAATGAGTTTTACTGCCTTCAAACTGGTCATGACAACTATACAGGAGTTCTTTTTTTCGCGAGAGATTTGTGTTTTGTAGGCATTGTCACTGGTCAGACTTTAGATCTATTAGTACAAACCTTAAAAACAATTCAGTTAATACAGTATATGTCAAGACATCACTCACAGAACTGGAATGGGGTAGCTGACTATAAAAATATGTGTGAATGGCAGCAGAATAAAATGAGAAGAGCTTAAGGAGACTCGAATAACTTGGTCACATATCCCTCACACAAGCACCCAGTTCATCATTTTTTGAGTTATAGTTCAAACATTTATTAGTACAAAAGCTGTAAATGACGATGAAATTATGCAGTAGTCAAACAAATAATGAAACCAGGGCTAGCATGGTGACTTGAGGAGTGGGGTGGGGAGGGGGCTATCTGCTAAATCTTGCTGCACTCAAGAGACTGGCTACTGGATGAGTTGAGAAATGCAAACACAGCAGTCAGCATCCCGACGTACCAGTCAAGTGGACAGCTCCTTTAATTGGTTACCCCCTGCGAAACGGGAAAAAACAGAGGGAGAAAATTAAAGCATCCTGCACCATTGAACTGGAGAACACCCCTGGATCAATGGCCGTCACTCTCAAAGTTTCTACTTTAAAAGCCCACAGAGGAGCTGTAGACTCACTGCTACAAGTGGGTGCTACCGAAAGCACCATTGTCAAGGAGGAATTACAAGGAAGGGTGACTGGGGACATGCAGGAGGAATTTGCTGCTGAAACATAATATTTAAGGAATTTTTAGATAGAGATATGCATATAGAAATATACTGTATATGTAGAAACACACACACACACACACGCATCCCAGAAAAGATCCCACAGCTCTGTTACGGAGGCTTAGACTACTGGGGAAAAATATCTCTATTTTTTTAAATGGTTTTATTTAAAGTGTTTTGATGAAGTGGAAAAATTACAGCAAAAGAACTTCAAAATACAGAAGCCAGTCTTCCTAATACCTCAGTCACATTCTAAAATATCAATAAAATAATCCAGACATATGGAGTTCCATTTCACTGTGCCACAAGAATGAGTGATAGAATCTAAAAGAACATTTCAAGGTTGCAAAGCCTCAAAATTTACTTCTCTTGACAGCTGTTCCATACTGTGGGCTTACTTTAAGAATTCCAGTGGGTTATTTATTTTTTTTTAAATATTAGTCTCTGCTACAGCATTACACTTAACAGTCAGAGCAAACCTCTAAACTCCCATGTTGCATAGTGCAACCAGACAGTCACATATTACATTGGGGCTAGTTTATGTCATTAAATACTACATGATTAAAGGAAATAGTCTGGAAGTCTTAAACTCGTCGGTATGGAAAAATAATGTGACAAAGTGCTCATTTTAAGACCTGCAACCTTGAGAGCATCTGGTTCAGTCAATTTTATCAAAAAAGAGAAGTTTGTTTTTAAAACCAAGCCAAAGTAGACGTAACATGGATGTGTTGACCTGCAGTGTCAGCCCTCTGTCAGACTCACCTGTCTGCAATACTCGCAGATTTGATTTTGTCTATGACAATGACCTGTTTGTTGCAGCACATCGAGGTAGTTAGTGCAACCCCAAGAGCAGCACCAGGAGTTTTGGCAACTTCAACTAGTAGTGGCCCAGACGCTGTTGCTACTGAATCTGTTAAAATTAGACAACAAAAGATCAGTATTACACCAACGTGGCACTCAAGCCATTTTCATATTTTGTTAGATAAAATCTTCATGGCGAGTCTATTTCTTTAACCAAACAACATACCACTTAAATTCTAGAATAGCATCGGTTTAGGTGTCAAGAATCGTCTCTTAATGTTGAAAATAATAAAAGGAAGAGGAAGATTTGTGAATCTGGGATGCCTGGAATCTTCTGACTGTGTCAGAATTAGAGATGGACCAGGTTAGAGAACCAGGACATGTTAGCCTATCCCTCTCTTCAACAACTGAAGCAAAAAATTACCTAGAATTTAAAACAGGCATGCTGAAGAAACAGAATAAATTTTAAAAAGCAGAAAATTATCTGGAAAAAAAAATAACAGGTGAATAGGTTCAAAAAGGTTGTTAAATTAATTTTCAGAAAATAAGGGGAAGGTCTGTGAACAACAGCTATAATAATGAAATTAAGAAGGTGAAGAAAGAGTCTACCAGAAATACCTCAAAAAAAGAAAGGACAATTTAGGAGAAAATCGTCAAAGTGCAGGAGGTATGACAGCTAGAAATAGCAGGAGTTAAAGCAAAATGCATGTGAGGAGTTTCAGAAGATTCTTGTAATATCGTGTCACTGGATAAAGTACTGCCTTGCAACAGGGCACAGATAGTAAATGACCAACACTGAAAAAAGAAAGCAGAAAAATGAGAGGCAGCAACAGTCATGATTGATGACTGTGGCGAGGAACTATGCCCAAGAGAGACAAGTGCTAGACAGAACAAAGGAAAAAGACAGCAGGCTGCTTCCTAAATGCCAAAACAAAGCAGGCAGTGATAAGGGTGAAGTGCATTCTGGAGACTGCCTGAGAGAGAACTCCTGCTAACTGATACCCATTGATCAACAATGGATCTCAGTGGAGTAAGATACAGCAAGCAAAGGTGTCTTTAAGGACATTAAAAGACTGAGACAAAGAAAGTGATATCAGAAGCCTTTGGAGGTGCTTACAGTCAGAATCAGGAAAAAATGAATAAACAAAGACTTATGCTGGAGCAAAGTTACCAAATGTCCTCCTAACAAAGAGAAGAGATTTGTATTCAGACAGTACTGGAGCCTGCTGTAGGAATACTAAGAAAATGCTGACGCCTCTCAGAAGTCTCTGAGATTGAAGCTGTAAAAGAACTGCAGCTGGGCTTCAAAGTATGGAGAAACGGGCAGATATAAGATATTCCATTCAGTCTCAAATCTACAGAATCCATCCAAAAATGTAATTCTGACATGGAAGAGAAAGACTGTGAAACAGTGTATTATTGTACAAAACTAACAAACTACATGATGATACAAGAAATTGGATGAGAGCTTGATTAACTAACACTCAGCTAAGGTTCTCTTCCTAGCTAGAGAGTAATGCAGGTAAGCTGCAGATAGACTAGGAGTGAAAAAAGATGCTTGTGTGGAATAAAATCATTAAAGCATCAGTTAATTATTACAGAACTCCTTTCCTCCTCACAACCTGAAATAATTTTTATGCTCCTGTTGTCTTTTTCCCCAGTTAGAAACCTGAAGGTTTGAAGGGGAGATACAGTATTTTTTAAAATGCCCATTAAATCTGAGCGATTCATTTTTGTGCCAAACTGGTACTGACTTTTTAAAGGCTGAACTTACCAAAAATAAGCTGCTCCATAAATGTGAACCAAACTTTAAATTGTGATCTGAAAGAAGAGTCCACCCAGTAGCATCCCTGCCTGGAGCTTCAGGCACTAAACAGCTTTAAAGCTGGGTGAACTGCCCTCAGCAGCTACTTGTCTTTCTCTAGTAACTAAAGGAGGTTATCACAATCAAAATCCTGTCTTAGATGCCTTGGTTAAGGGTCTAAGACAGGCAGGATGCATGCAGTGTCTGGCATATGGCCAAATAAGCACGCACAGTAGAGTAGTATTTTAAAATTCCTGATTCCCACTCCTGCACTGAGAAACCATTATCTTCTTCTTGAATATTCCAGTGGTTTCTGGAGCTACAAAGTCGCTCACATTTATAAATATATGGGAAGAAGACTCAAACCATGTTTGTCATCAGTACTGTGACAAAGGTTTGAACTCCTATCGATCCAGAAAATGGCAAAGCTCAAGTTGTTACTGGTCTAATGCAAGTTCTTTCTGTAACGATTGCCTTGAGGAGAGGAAACTAAATGCAAATATCTCTTGAGAATGAGTAAATCTTTCAAGATGCTGCTCCAGAGTTACTTGAGAAATGCATGATCAGCTTATGCCCTAGTGTTATTTCCCATGTGCCTGGTTGAAATGCACAGGGAAAGCAAAACAAGGCAGATAGGATGAATAAATAAGACAACTACATTAGAGGAACCAGAAGAGAAGAAATGGAGTGTGTCTAACTGTGGAAAATAAACACAAGGAGGAGAAATCAGAAGGCAATAATCAAGCACACAGTCCCTGACAGAGAAGGATTAGTTTATCATGTTGAAGTAAAGCATGGATATGAAAAAATGAATCATACAGGTATAAATTATTCATGTGTGAAGATGTTTCAGCCATTAAGATATTTACACCGTGACTGAAGCACTTACACTCTGTGTTGATTTATTGGCTGTGTAATTACATAAGATATACTGATGAATATTTGTATGAAAAACGCTCTAGATTTTTGATTTTGTTAATAAATTCTCTCACTTTTGAGCACTGCATCTCAATCAGTACAAGAGGCTTGATTAAAACCTCCCAGAGGAAGCAGCACTGCTTTCTGCATGCTAATACACTTTTTCAGCTAGATAGCAGCATACCTTTTCTATTTGACAGCTTAAATCACTAGCAACATGGGGTTTTATTCTGACTACACTTTTATGATGTATAAATATCCTATATGATATATATAAAACTTTTGGCTAAAATTAGCAGTGTCACCACCCTCCCGCACCTCATAAGGTAATCATAAATGATTTTTAAAGTTGGGTTTTTTTTTTAAATCTTGATTTCCAATGAAAATTAGGTTTAAGGGATTACACTACACGCTTTTGCCTACATACTTGTAAATGTATGTATCTGCCAATCACTGCCTATCCTTATGGCTTGTCGAAACCAGTACAACATCTGATGGCTGGTAGAGGATAGAAAACCTCTTTAGGATTCTCACTGTAGGGCAAGCCAACAAGTGAGATGCTTGTATTAGGCAGCAGAGAATCTACATGTGAAACAGTACTTAATGCCCCCAAAGGGGAAATGCTTCAGTCCGAGCTTGCAATCCATATTGTCACTAAATCCATAGGAAAATGAACTAATATTTTTTTTTTAATTTATTTTGTTTTGGTTTGGTTTTCCCCCCCTTGTTTTTCTTTTTTTCTTCCCAAAGCCTTCTTGCACTTCAAGCTGGGAGGTGTTGTTATACTGTGAGCATGCTCCTACAGGAACACTAAGCTCTGCTGCTACTATTTATGCCCTGCAGCTTCTCACTTCCCTGACTGCAAAGTTTCGGGTGCTTTCTTATTTTTTCTTCAGAACTCATGGCAACACAAGGTACAAATAATTTTTTGAGTGGCTTGGAAGAAACAGACAAAGAGGAAGGGTGTCAAAACCAATTTTGACCTTAAAGAGCCAGCTGAAACAGTTGAAAGACACAGCCCCACAAGACTGCTACTGATTTAGCCTGGATGCCGTTGTATCATCTGCTAATGATGTGAGTGACAAACAAGTGGATAACTTGTTATGTCACATTAATTTTTCTCTTGTTGAGCTTTTTTCCTATCAGGCATCCAAGGGCTAACATTTTTTTCACCTTAAGATAGCATATGGCAGGTTCATGTAGCCTTCTCTGTTGTTGTAATTCTCTGACTGAAAGCAGTAAGAAAACCACCCCAGTAAATCCATGCTGGTTCAGATTAGTAAACAAATGCATAGTTCCTCAAAATTGCAGTCCTCTCAAAGCAAAGTTTTAACACTTTTTTACCAATGTATTCACAGATAAAAATGTGTCTCACTCCTGTAACTAGAAGCCAGTAATTCATGGAAATATTTTTTCTTGGTTAAAAAAAATGTGCTTTTCTGCTCCTCATACCTTTCTTTGTTCCCTTCATACAAAATCTTTGCAGTTTATAGATAGCGAGTAAAGCAGTACCTCCCTCAGGTAGGAGTGTTTTTTTTTTTTTTTTTGTCCATTCAGTTCTTGTCAGTACTTCCAATTCTTTCTTCTCTCTTTTTCTGTAACCCAAATTTATTTTACCCATTGCCTCATGCTCAGGCTAGTCAAGAAAGCATGTTCTTAATTAGAACAAAGGGCCACCCAGATTATATTTTCACAGCAGTAAGCCTCATTAAGCTCAGGCGTAAGACACCCTGATATTTTCCTATAACACCCCTAAAAGGAAAACCATCTTCTACCCCTACATTGCAATCTCCACTACCAATATTTAAAGACTGGACCAGTAGCTGGGTGGATCACAGAATTGTATTTTAGTGAGGTTAAGGAAGATTGTTGAGGAAATGGCAGAAATCTGAAATCTCTAGCACTCTCTCCTTTAAGCATCAGAAAATGTACAGCAAATCAGTTTGGGGAAATCAGTTTGCATCCTGCCATGACTACCAAATGCCCTACGCTTTACACTTGCTTTCCTCTGCTCTTTGTGTGCTCTTTTTTAATCCACAAAAATCAATGATTCTTTTCCAGCATCTGCTCAGCAACCATACATGCTACAGCTCTGAAGTATACAGGACAGTCATTGACTGTTCCCCAAGGAACCTGTTAGGTAAACTCCCACAGAAGGACCTGCACAAGTCCTCAAATGTAGAAATGCACCACCATTTCCTTCAACTTGGTTTCTTTAACAAAAATACAAGAGAATGTAAGAAGTAGCAGGAGATGAAACATAAAAAAAAAATCCCCAAACAAAACTTTTTTTTTTTTTTCTCCCAGAAATGGCTCAAAATTCCAGGTGTCAGACATACCATAGGTTTATCACCATGAGAGTTTTGAGTATTTGCCATTCCTTTGGG